AATAGTTATTCAAAGAATAAATCAATAAAGTTAATGTACTTAAAACAAGGATTGTGTTGTTCACCGAGTGGTCATTGAGTTAATGCCTTTTTAATCTGTTAGCAAAGTGAGTTTGCCATTAATTACATTAACTTTATTGATTTATTCTTTGAATGACTATTTTACAATATTAAAATATTTAAAGAAGGATTGCTGAAGGAATGCCAGTGATTGTAAAGTCTCTGCTTCCAACTCCCAGTGGATATACCTATGCATACCTTTTTCTCATTGATATTTTCTTTTGGAAAAAGGGTAGCTTTGTATATTAAATTTTCAGAATTACAAATGCCTCCAAATGGGCTGTTTTGGATTTACAATTACAAGGTGGCTTGTAATCTTGTGTGTTGCTGTCATAAAATTTTTTAATAATAGGTTTTTGAGTGTGTTAATAATACTGTGTATATTGTTAGTGCAGGAATAACTGATTTTTAAAGTTTTTCTATTGAAAATTCTTTTTAGCTTTGTTATGATTTAAATGTTTGTCTATTATCTACCAATATTTATATTAGATAATTTAGAGAAAGATGGGTTATATATAAAAGATTAATGGTCAGTGTTGAATCGAACCAGGAAACAGTGGTATTAAAAAGTACTCAATACACATGTGAAAAATAAAATTAAAGTAAAAATAACATGTAGAGTCTTTAACTTTAAAAATAAGGAGATCAGTTGGATCCACTGCCTTGGTTTCAACCTTACGGTATCCTCACACAATTTTTATCAAATGACCTCTTAAAATTTTATTTTTAAAAAAAAACAAAAACTAATGAACACTATATTATTTAAAAAAAAATAAAAATAAACAAATGCTCCACGTTGAGTATAATAGAAAGGGAGGAAGAAGATGTGGTATTATAAATGTATTGGTGCAGGGTTATTTGAAATGTACATTTAGCTTTTTATCTTTATGTGCTTAAGAATTTCTTAATATGTATGCAAGGACTATTGTAAATACATTGACAGTTTGTATTCTACACCTTATCAACCCTTTGCTGGTTATTGAATATAGTTTTAGATTGTAAGAACTTTTGGGTGGGGGGTAGATGATGGTTTAGTGTTTACCATTAAACCATTATTATTGCTGTAGATTGTTTGCTATATAATATATATATATATATATATATATATATATATATATATTTTTTTAAATTGATAATTTAATTTAAATTGAAATATATTACCCTTCAATAATCATTATTGATGATAAAATTATTTAAATTGGAATAACCGTTCATAATTAGGTACCTAAAAACAATCACGAGTTTATTTAATTAATGAACAAAAATCAAACGAATAGATGTCAACCTAACAAGCAATAAGATAAAAGTTTTAGTAGAATAAAAAAGATTACTAAATATAAAATGGATTACTCTTTCAATGTACTTTCTATGAGTTTTTCCAATCGACTGTTTCATAGAATATACCCAAAACTCCAACGAACTTCAAATTAAATTCTTCGTAGATTGTTTAGACATTTAGATTTCTATCAAACCTTAACCTCCCAAATATACCCTTTAAAGTAATGCGAATTAACAGCGTCTAAGAATTTGAATGAAACCTACCCTCGTGGAATGTATTTTATTAGGGTTGTTGTAGCTTCTTTCATTAATGTCGGTCTTCTCCCTCACCCCTTACCCATCTATATCTATAGACAATACGCGTTAGCCGACACACAGTGGGGTTAAGAATAAGGAATTGAAATGGTACATCTAACCCACTCATATCTTCTCTCTCACCTCACTTCCTCACTTCGTTAATTTTACATATGCTTGATGCGGTCCGTCAAAAACGTGAATTTCTTCTCATTTTTCATTTCAACCTTTGGAATTAAAGTCTGATGATCCAGAGCCCTGTTAAAGGGGTTGTGGTGAAATAACTTATTACATGGAACCTTAAAGTGGTCTGTTTTTATTCAAACATATCTGCTCTGAATTTTACATTGAGCTCTCTGGATATCATCCTCCTTGGGTCTACCCATGGATTACCTAGTTTTGCATAAACTAATATATATATATATATATATATATATATATATATATATATATATGTGTATATATATATATAATATTATTTAAAAATATGTATCCATTGTCACACAAAAATTACTATGTTTCAGAACTAAAAATTAAACATTAAATTAAACTTAAAATTAAAGTATTTGTTCCATTCTCAAGTAATGTTGAATAACTTTTGAAAAAATGATTTACTTTTTTTAAGCTAAATAGTATTATATAGTTTAAGTAGGAGGGGGAAAGGGATTACAAAATTTTAAAAGGGTGTTGCCTTTTTCGTTGAATCAGGATATAAGTTTAATTTAAAATGGCAAAGTGTAAATATGGGTTAGGTGTGGGTTTGTAATTTCTGCCTGTCGATACTAGCTTCTTTATATGAGGATGTGTCAGCCTGTCATTTTTTTTTTTTAAGGCCATACATAAGATATGCTGCAATACATTGGCATTTTTATTTATTTTTTGATTTTTTTTTTATAAGAGAGGCTTCAAATATGATTAAGTCATATTTTATATATTTATCAAGCACTGGTTTTAAAAATAAGAACTGTGGATTATAAATCTGACTGTTCTTTCTTATTTTGAGATATATATATATATATATATATAAATCTAAAAGTGAACATTGACGTCAACACTCAGAGGCGACAGGCTGTTTCATGCTGGACGCAATCGTCAGGCCGCTATATATATATATATATATATGGATTATATTTGGCCGTCTGACGATTGCATCCAGACTGAAACAGACTGTCACTTCTGAGTGTTGACTTCAATGTTCACTTTTAGATTTATATTTACATATGCTCTATCTCTGATATTGAGCACTTTTTCCCATAAATATAGCACACCTTAAAACTATATTTCTTAATATATATATATATATATATTAGTTATTTACCTGCTGCCCCATGCAGCAATAAGTGGCACAAGGCCGAGTTTAAAGTGGGGCATCTGAGCCCATAGGCTCAGGCAAAAATTCCCTATAGACCACGTAAAAACAGTCAGTTTCCCAAGATGAGACTCTGCCTTTTGGCAGAGCCTCTGACATAAGCCAGGTAAGTGTAATACATATATAATTACCTAATTAGTGTCTCAATATACAGGTAAGTGGTGTAACCTTATGTAGTTTTGGCATAGGTTCCTACTAATTAACCCATCGCTGTGTGGAAAAGAAGTGGATTCATACCTTTCCCAAGGCCATCTGTGTGTAAGTGAATATAATGAACCATACTGGAATTGGAACTCTGCTCTCCGGTTAACAATTCCGAGCCATTAGCCATTACACCACCTGCACATCCAAACTTACAGCAGTCACCCATCTAAGTACACACCAGGCTCAATGTTACTTAACTTTGGTGATTCTATGAGAATCAGTGTTTCAGTATGATGTGAAGATAATATAATATTCTGAGTAGATCAACATATCATATGTTCGTATATCGGAAATCATAGAAATGTTGTGACTATAAAAATCAAGTTCAACGAAATCATTGCGTTGACTAATTCTGCATAAACAAATGTTTTTTGGTACACAAAATTTGAAATGTTTTTTTACTTCATTTTTCAGGTGCTGTTTATTGCCTACTTCTTGGCTGTGATTTGGGTGGCTGGCAGTTCTCTAGCCGTTATGCCCCTTTTGGTGAGCACTTTCATCCTCTCCACTGATTTCAAGAAGGGAGACTGCATTGAACTCAAGTATTATGGTCAGTATTTTTTGTCTGTTGTCCACTTCACATGCCTCCCTAGTCTTTTGAATGAGAGAAGTTTATTATCCCTTATTAGACATCATACGACATGTCCCAGCTTTAAAGGCCTGATCCAATGAAAATAAGGAAGCTTGAATGAACTGCTTTTTAAATGTATGAGGAAATAAAAAATTATCTGCACTTTTGCTGTAATGTTTACATTTGTTACACTGCCTTCTGCTGATATGTATTTACAGTTGGTATTATTGTAGTCACAAAACCAAAGTTTGAGCTGGATCAAATCAGTTTTCTTGCTCCTGTTACAGTGCAAACATAGCTGCTCTGCTAGTAGTGTGCAAACAGGTTGGAACAAAGAGCTGTAATTTAATTTCTCTGGTTGGAATGTGTATCAGGGGCTGAAATCAGATGCTCTTTAAAATGACCCAGTGACAGTACACTACTGTGTAGAAGTGTGTATAAGTGGTTCAAGAAGTTTAAAAATGATGCATGAAGAAGGAGCAGAATATCCGTCAAGCTCCACCACTAACAAGAATATTCAGCAAGCTCAAGAAATGGTAATGTCAACTTGATGAGTTATCATCGACGAGGTAGCATGTCCTCCACAGAATCAGATCACTGAGCTTTGTTTCTAAATTACTGGTGAAAATGCGGATAGTTTTTGACTTTCATTTCTAATGATCATAATTACTTTGGGGATGGATCTTCCACATTGTGATTTGCATTTATGAATCATTCATAGCAAATTAAATTAGCATCCGTATTGCTATGATCTCATTGGGCTGTTATCCAAATACCTTCTCTTTTATTCTTTCAATTAATATATCATTAAGGTTTTCTGTCATGCATTGAATTCTGGGATTAGCATTAAGGCACCTTTTGAAGTTGGCTTTCCTGCAGATCCACCAATCATAATGTCCCCCATATCTGAGGCATTTTTTTCACATTTTGTTACTCTATATGCAAATAACCACACTTAGACATTTTGACTTCAGGTTTGGTGTGCTATATTGAATAGTGGCCATCAGACTGTAATCTATTCAGACAAAGCCCTTGACCGACTTGATTAGATTTTTTTATTTTATTATTGATCAATTTGTTTTTTATGGCTTATCAACCCTTTGAATTTTATTTAAAGCCAGAAAATATTTTTAGAGTGTATGAATTTTTTTTTCTTTTCTTTTGTATATAATAATAGTTTAGTGATACAAGTCTTACTAATTAACCCATAGCTTGGGGAGAAGAAGTGGATTCGTACTAATCAGAATTTGATAAACAAACAAGAAATTATGTAGATATGAAGTGGGGGATCAATTCTATATTGCAATCAATATATAAACTGATCCCTCATTTTGTGGTCACAGTAGTTTCTATGCATTTCTATTCCAGAGAATGTCAATAAATTCAAAAGACATAATTGTGCAACTAATCAGTATTTCATTGATTGATTGATTGATTTTTTACAGCTTATCAACCATTTGTAGGTTATTTAAAGCCAGAAAATAATTTTAGATTGTAAGAAAATTTTCATGGGTGTCCTCATGGTATTACGAAAATCATCTCTTTTTCATTTTAACTCATGCCTGTTATCTGAGGTCATTGACTATCCAGGTTAGTGGCATTCGTCATTGTCGCTTAAAATGCTGTGTCATCCATAAATGGGCCATCCAATTTGACATCAATGACTATTTACGTTACAAATTCTGATGATAATTCTATAAGTTCTCAAATGTTGATACGATAAACTCTAGAGGAAAATACAAATTGCTATAAACATTTAATGTCTTTGTTTGTAATAAAAACATTACCGTAAATTGTGACATACAAGTCAAGTTTTCAAGCCTAAAATCATATTTCCAAAACTAGGAGGCAATTTTATATGGCATGTATAAATTACAAACCAATTTGTATACAAGTAGGAAAACACTCCTAACAATTACTGTACACCACTCACCTCCAGTCGGCTGCCACAAATATATCCTACTAAAACTTGGGTTTGGTGAACATATTTGGCAGGAATTAAAACAGAATAATGAAATAGTAACACAAATTCAGTATTCTATTGGCACTACAGCATACATCGCACCGAACAGCTGATACACTAAGTATAAACACTGACCAAAGAGCCATTTAACTCACTGATGCAAATGGTAGATGAGTAATACTATGTTTTACAATAACATATGATACATAGTTTTTTATTATGCTACTGCTATCTGGTATGATGTGTAATCTTCGGTATTAATATTTTATAGGAGGTGATGTTGACTTTAATGTGTTTTATGTGTTTTGGGGTAAAAGCCTTTTCTAATTTTTGGTGATTGGTCAACCTAATATGGTATGTATAGTATAAATAGAATAATGAAATAGTAACACAATTTCAGTATTCTATCAGTAGCGTTTTTTAACTCGGTTTGTTGTTTACATCACTGATGCAAATGGCCGCTGAGTGATATTGTGTTTTACAATAACATATGATATTTAGCAGCAGTATAATTAAAAAAAAAAAAAACCTACCTGGTATGATGTATAATCTGCGGTCTTAATATTTTATAGAATTTGATGTTGACTTTAATGTGTTTATCAGTAGACCTGACAAATTTTAAATGTTCACTAAGTTATACCAATAATATATATTGGTACCTACCAGTGTGTGTTGTAGATTTTTGCTATACAACAGATGTAGAAAGATATTACGGTTACTGTCTCAATATGCAGGTAATGGTATGACCATAGGTAGTTTGGGAATAAGTCATTGTATATGGTAGCCTAACTTCATTTACTGGTAGGCCTAAGTTTTAGACCACTGGTAGCCTACCATATGTTTGAGCCATTGACCTATATGGAAGGTATCTGTAAATTGTCATTTCTTATTGTGAAAGAGAGTAGAGTGCTTCCTCATAACCTTCTCCAGTTTTAAGTACCATATCCCTACAGGATGTAGGTGATCATGGCTCTCCACAGTTTCCTTTATTATCTATTGTCATGAATACTTAGGGTATGTTAGTGGAGTTATTTATCTTTGACTGGTGGGCACCCAAGGTGAGAGAGCCCATTGTTCTCTGCTATTTAACCTGTAGCTAGAAGAGAGAGATTCAAACCTTTCCCAAACGTATCAGTACAGAACTGAATACAAAGGATTGTTCCTGGACTTTAATTTGTCTCAACAGTCCCACTTGTGGCACCAATGTCTGTTAACCAAATTTGAAAGAATAAAAATAATTGGATTACAAGTAACATCCATAGTTTTTGTTTAATTTTGTTTTTCTTTTTTTAATCATTTCACCCCAAGTAAGGCAATAAAGCCATTAAGACACAAGGGGGTTTGAGTGTGAAAAAAAAGAAAAAACATTATTAAGGAGTGAGGAAAATAAAAGAACAGGAAGACAGAAAATAATGATTGACATTTCATTTAAATTTTTAAAGATCAAAGTTGAGCCAGAAAAGTGTTCCAAAAGAGAAGAAATTGTTACCATAGTTTTCAACATATAAGATGCTTTACTAGTTTCAGATAGAGAATTGGAAGTTTTAGCAGATATAAAAGTCCTAGATTTTAATGTAAAAATTACAAGGAGCCTGACAGTTGATCTTTAAAACAGGATTTTTTTTTTGTAAGGGAACCTTATAGAAAAAAAAAAAAACGAAAAATAAGTAGTTTTGTATTTTAATCACTAAATAAATGAAGTCTTCATTTATTTACATTCCAGGACTTGAGAAAAAAGTTTGTGATCCAGAACTAGAAAATCTTCCTTAAATAAATAAGTTGAAATATTTTATTTTTTTTTTACTTTTATAAAGGAATTTTCATTTTCTTTTATTGAAGGAAAACTTTTAGAATTTGTTATTGGTTGGTTCTGAATTTTTATTTACTATTATGAAAGAAAAGAAATGAAGAACTTTTTTACCATTTTCATATTTCTTTGCCTTTCTTTCACAAATTTTAGCACCCCCCTCTCTCTCTCTCTCTCTCGGTAAAAATTTTTCTCTTCTCTCACTTTCACTATTTCTCATTCATTTCTCTCTCTTACAATTTATCTTCTTTTCTCTTTGGCTTTCATAATTTCTTTGCCCTGTTCAAAATTTCAGTTCCCCCATCTCTCTCTCAATATCTGTTCACCGTCTCTCTCTCTCTCAATATCTGTTCCCCATCTCTCTCTCTCTCTCTCTCAATATCTGTTCCCCATCTCTCTCTCAATATCTGTTCCCCATCTCTCTCTCTCTCTCAATATCTGTTTCCCTTTATTCTCTCAAGAATTTCTGTTCTCTTTCTCTCTTTCTCTCTTTTGTTTTCTTTTTTGTTTCTCTCTTTCAATTTCTGTTGCCCGTCTCATTCTCTCTCACTCAATTTCTGTTCCCCCGTCTTTCTCTCTCTCGCAATTTCTTTTCCCCTTCTCTCTCTCTCTCTCTCTGTCTCTCTCTCTCTTTCTCTCTCACAATTTCTTCTATGTCTCTTTCATAATTTCTCCCCCCTTTCCTTTTTTCATAGTTTCTCTCTCACTCCCCATGGAAAAGCTGTCAAAACATATACAGTCTTGTTCAAAAAGTGATTCTATAATTAATTAAAATTCTGATCTAATGATTGCTTATGATGTGAAACTGACAGCTACCATATCCACACAGTCTCGTGTGTGAGTGTGTGTGTGTGCATATATATATATATATATATATATATATATATATATATATATACACACACACACATATATAGGATTGCATCAGCATGCCAACAGTTTTGAAATGATTTTTTTCTTTTGTTTATTAAACCATTCATGTTTTTGAATTTTACAATTTTCATTATCTCCACTTATAGATTTCGATTTTTTTTCTTGTTTCTTTTCATCATTTTTTTTTCTTTGTCATTTTTAGTTCTCATATATATTGTGATAATATGGTGCAATTTTTGTGTTTTATATAAAATACCCCATGATGAAAATACTGACCAGCATATATAAATAGTTGATCCAAAACACAACACACATGGTCTGAAGATTACATTGAAGCATGAAACACACTGTAGCTGCATGGTGCTGACTATGGCATTATGCTAATGTTAAAAGTACTCAGAATAAATGAATATGTATCACCACAGTAATTTTCTCTATTCCTTTAATAAGGATACTAAGAAGATTGATTGTGAATATGAGAGGATCCTATTGAAAATAATTACGTAAAACTTGTCTAAATTATTCAATGAGACATGTCTTATAAAAGGTGTTTCATTAAGACGAATCAAAGTCAGCAGTAAATAAATCAGTGTTATTGGTGAAAATTTCTCTATTGGATCATGTTATTTAAGTCATGACAATTATGTGTGAAAAATAATATCACCCAAATGTCTGCCAAATTTCAAAGGCAAACCCCATTCAATGGTCAAAATTTTGATTCACCTTTGTAAAGTGTTACGATTGGAACACATTTCTATAAAAGGGATTCCTTTGAGTTCTACTTGTTATTAAAAAAGTTTTCATTCATGAAGCAGTTGTAAAATAGAAAATTAGAAATAGAATGTTTGGAAGATTCTAGATCATTCTAGTATATTCGAGAAAAATCTAGATGATTTGACTTTCAGTAGAAAAATATGCAAATTAGGTGTTAGCCCCTATAAAAAATGGGATTTTTAAGGAAAAAAGCAATTTGTCATTTAACTGAAAACAGATCCATCAACTGTTGAATTGTCGTTGGATTGTTGGCATGGATGGTTCTTTTGAGATGACCCCAAAGGAAAAAAAAAAAAGTCGTCAAGTAATGGATTCGGATCACCACCATCACAAAGAGTTCTGTCAGATGACACGTCAATATAGCAATTCACCTCTGCAGCTCCACATACATTGATGTAAGGCACCATTGAAAAATTAGCATGACCTGATCAAAATACATACCATTAAAATCCCTGAGTCTCATAATGTTGAACTCATAATGAAGAATTTGAACTGCATGATCGTGGTAGCCAACTGCCTTCCTTGTTTTGAAAGATTATGTGACCTGGGAACTTCTCATTCAAATTCTGTTTGAACATCCATTTTCATAATAGGCATTGATAACTTTAGCAAGTTGTTTGATTGTTAATCTTTCCATGGTTGAAATTGCCAAAGACTTAAGTTGTTAAATCTGAAAGGAAAAAGAAAAAAAAATCATTAGACACGTAAACTTAATTCATATTTAAAATTGGTCCAACTTATTGGAACATGCTTTATATAACAGAGATGAAAAATGTTACTTTTATATTGGAAAAACCTGTTTATCCACATCTTGCTGTTTCATATGCTTTTGCAATTTTAGGCAATTGCATAATTCTTAATACATCTTTATCTAAAAAACTGTGTAGACTTATCATTTTGTATTTAACGTCTGAAAAGCATTTGAGAAAATATATGTGAAGTATGATTACATTTTCATTTGATTTAATATTTGTCTTTCAGGGTAAAGAGCTCTTTACTTGCTACATCTTCACCTATGTCTCTTCAGTGCTGGTCACTATCAGTATGGTAAGTGTCATATAGATATTTTATTTTTCGTTTATTTTGAACTTTGCTGAATTGTTATCAGATTCTTTTTCTTACCTCCACATATGGATTGACTATAACAAAATTAGTATAGGAGAAAAGGAAACTGAACAAAGAATAGGCTGGGCCAGAGATAGTTTCACACAACACCACCAATTGTTACAAAACCAAAAGAACAACCTGGAAATTTGAGTCATATTCTTAAATAGCTTTGTCAGATGAAGACTTTCATATGGATGTCATGTTTTGTGCCAAACCCATTCAGAAATATTTAAACTGAAGCTAAATTTATTGACAGTTTCTATCGTCAGTGGCAAACATGTTCACTGAGAAAACCAAAGAAACAATTCATGAATAATTTGCATTAGCAACTGTTATAGTGGAACAACTTATCACACCCCGACAGTGATTGGTCAGTCTAAAGAGACGTGAATGAGGAGAAAATAAAAGACATCCTTGTTGTTGTTATCAGTACCACTACGGATCTTACCTACGTAGCTCCGTTTTTTCTGTTATTATTAATATTATTAAGAACCTTACTCATTGTACTTTCCGTACAATTAAAATCCATATTATTTGTTTTACCTCATTCCTGTGTTTAGCATAATCTTTCTACAAAATTACCTAGTTGTAAAAACTCGTATTATCCACGATATAACAGCAACAATAGCTTAGAAACAATCTCTGAGTCATACCAGCAACAAACAGCTCAAACCATTCACTAGTCTCAAGACAAGACTAAGAAAAATGGTCTCCACACTAATTTGGTTTTGCGCTGTATAGAGTCTACTTCATACATCCCGAAAAGTCTCATATGACAATATTGTCTTTAAATATTTTGACTCAGGGCTGCCACTTTCCTTTCTGGATATTTTACATGCAAGGCATGTGTCAACTCTTTGCCTCGGTAAGTCATTTTGTCTTTCAGTCTTTTTCTAGGTCAGGGGCAGTCTTTTGTTTCTACTACTGTCGGCTGTAAACAGCTGCTTTCTAAGACCAATGATTAAAAATAACTTTGAGTGAAACTTGAGGATCTTGGCAAAGACAATCCTTCTTGGAACCTTGTTGACTGGTGTTAGAGAAGCACAAACAAAGAACTTTACCAAATAACAGAAACCACATCACATAAACAACAACTAAAATGGCTATCTTGAGTAACTGAAAGAGAAAATAAAGACAAATAAGACGTTTCACACAACTTCAAACGAAAGGTTAGGAAGGAAACCCCATTAGTACTGGAAAGAGCAATATAAGTTATTAGACTTGAGAAACCTATTTTATAAATTGCAACTTAAATCACTCCTGGCTGATCAGTTAATGAATGCCACCTGTTTCGTAATAAGGAAATGGCTAATATTACCATTCTCATTCATCCTAATACTATGTGCCTTCAGGATGTGGCTCTTCACACATCATATTCATTTATTATGATTGTTCTTGAGAAAGATAAGGAATTATTTCTTGTTGCCTTCTCCAGGTTTTTTCTTTTCTTTCAATTCGGAATGGTCCATCTCCTAGACTGGTTGCCACTCAAGGCTAAAGGGCTAAGTCTATTTCATTTTGATTTCAGCTGCCATCACAGATAAAATCATGTCAGAGATTTCTCTGAAACTAATGTGGAA